CAACATCGGCATTATGGGCCTCCAAAACTGGATGAGAACACCTAAAGGCATTGCAAGATGCGAGAGTGAGTGACAAACAATGTCTCAAGAGATATGGTTTGACACATTTGTATATCTAGGCTTCCTACTTTATGTTGTCGTATCGGCCACCCTCGCATCTTGTAATGCCCTCGGATGTGCTCATCCAGTTTTGAAAGCATGTAAGCACGATGTTGCAGTGGAAAGCTTAGTTTATGAAGAATACATGCTACAGTCCATGTGCAGGCATCTGATTTTATTTTCCACTAGTGGAAATTATTATTTTAGTCTCTAGTTGAGGAAACTTTTAATTCCACTGAATTTTAATTTCAACTGCGGCATATATATAATTAAAAAGTTTAGTTTTGAGGTTGTATACATTTTTATTGTTCTGCAACCATAATTACAAGTAACTTATAATTGCATCTTTTACTTGGAGTCTGATAAATCTTACATGACGGTCAAGTATTTTGCTTTTTGCAAATTTTTATCAAGACTATATTATATGCATGATCATCTTGGATTGTTGTTTGTTCAACCGCTGGAAAAATCATAAAAATTTCGAAATTTCAAAATTTCAGAATCAAATATAACTATAACTGCAATTATAATTATCTGTTTTACAAGGGTTCTAAAAGGCGGTCGACGAAACAAGAATCAGGCTTAATTAATTCTAAACACTGTATCTACGAAACAAGAATGCCCCATTGTTTTTCGAGTGATAACGCCAAGTGATTGTTTTAAGTGACATTGTGTGTGTTCTAAAGCCCGTCGGGTCCGGGTCCAAAAATCATGGACTCGATGGGCTCTAATATAGAATATGTTACTTGTCGAACATAAAAGAATGAAAAAAAAAGGATATCCTATCTTTGGATCGATTATTAAATCCGAACTAGAATTTTGCATTACAGATCTCAAATGAGTGGTTCGTGCCCGAATCACAAAGAATTAATTATTCGGTTCGGATCCGAGAATTTTCTTTGAGCGGATCCGGGTCCGGGTACAAACAAATTTAACCAACCGGGTCTGGGTCCGATCCGGGTATGAATAAATTTTTATCATCGGGTCCGGGTCCAAAAATCATGGACCCGATGGGCTCTAAATTATTAAATGTTCCGAAAAAATCATATAGCAATGTCTAACGGTCCACCGCTTAATGATTCTAAAATCGTGTTTGTCTCAAAGTAAGTTTTTTACACATAGCCTGTGCTCTGACAATTGCCTCTAAATACTCTTCAAAACAACATATAAATATAAAAAAATATCTTTTTTAATTTCTTTACTTGCTGTGGGCGATATAATGATTCGATTGCTCTTCACATTAAATAAACTATGTTTACATCAAAACATATAATTTCTGGATCCGAACCTGATAACCTTATACGTCAAATAAATAGTTGTTTCAATCAAACAGTGAGAAGAATAAAATTTTATGGTTTTCGATTGACCATTCTAGAATATCTTCTGAGAAGTATGGCTTTTGCGCGAATTCCAAAAACTCATCGCTTTTTGACTTTTTTCTCAAAATAAAAATGATTCATATATATGAAAGTGCAGTTTTTTTATAGACTTATTTGGAAACTTAAATTGAAACACAAATCAGTTGACCAAAACGTCCTGCCTGAGGAAAAACAGCTTTTCAGAAAAAAAACAAGGAAAATTAACTTTATTACGGAACTCGCTGTGTTCCAAAACTCCTAACGAGAGACCCTTTCCAACTGTCTAATCGCTTTCTGATTGAAACCTAGTGGTTTATAGGGTATCGACGGCGCTGATTCCAAATATCTATATGAGATGGGCCGCTGGCGGGCCAACCTAGAGAGATTTTTCAGAAACCTCGAAAAGTCCCTAAAACTTTCTCTTAATACATCACGATTGTAGTCCAAGAAATTCTGATAAAAATGAGACATCTCCCACCTCTACACGACCTTTCTTTCCAAAGTTATAGACTTTAAAAGGAAAGCCCTAAATGTTCATTGTCACCTCAAAGCTACAGAAATAAGAAGAAATTAATTTACGTTTTTTCCTACAATCGTGAGCTATTAAGAGAAATGTTTAGGGACTTTTCGCGGTTTTTGGAAAACTGCTCTAGAAAGGCCTAGCCACCCGTCCTCTCATATGAATATTCGGAATCAGCTTGGTCAATAACCTATAACCCACTAGGTTTCCATAACATAAAGTAGGCAGCCTAGATATACAAATGTGTCAAACCATATCTCTTGAGACATTGTTTGTCACTCACTCTCGCATCTTGCAATGCCTTTAGGTGTTCTCATCCAGTTTTGGAGGCCCATAATGCCGATGTTGCAGTTTAAAGCTTAGTTTATGTGGAAAACAGGCTTCGACCCATATGCAGGCAAAATTTATTTTATTATGTATTAAATGATGTGTTACGTTGATAATCCCAACCTTCAGCATTGTTGTTTGTTCAACTACTGGAAAAATCATACAAAATTTCATAATGAAAAATCAACTTGATAATTGCAAGCATAAGTCCATGTAATACAAGGAGTCTAAAAAGTTATCGACGAAACAAGAATCAAGCTTAACTGGTGCTAAACATAGTACCGACGAAGCAAGAATGGATACAGATTAAAAAAACTTTGGTTGAAAACTGGCGTTCCGACCGCACTATATTTGAAACTGTTACCTCGAAGAAAAAGGTTACTAAATTATTATTCAGAAAATCAATAGGATTACACTATCATATCTTGTCATGACCGTTAGTCAAAGTTACTAAATCATTATTCAAAAGAGCGCGTCATGTTTTCGAGTTACAATCATACTTTTATTTTTCTCGTTCTGTCAGCTCAAAAAGAATACCTTGCAAAGAAAAAATATTTCGTTGAGTATATAAACGCCATATATACTGTGAAAAGAAGAAAAATACTTTTGTTCGATTCGCAAAAAGAAGACTTCAAAACAGAAATTTTATTTTTAAGCGTAACAGAATCGATCTATTGGTATGTAAAAGAGAAAGTTAAAAGAAAGTTAGAATATCAAGTTTCGTTTTTGTTACTTTAAGAAGGTTAAAATATGGCATCTGGCACTCGTATAGCACGTGCTTTGGAAGAAATTCAACAAGAAGTTCCCGAAGGTTTGTCTAATATTGAAGTTGAAGATCCATCAAATATGCGTGTTTGGAAAGCATTATTTCATGGACCAAAAGATACACCGTATGAAGGCGGAAGATTCAAATTATTAATTGAATTTCCCGATGATTATCCACTCAAACCACCTAAAGTTCGATTTGATCCTCCACTCTATCATCCAAATGTCTACCCCGATGGAAGTGTTAATCTAAGCCCTCACGAATCGTCACCATGGTCCCCACAAACTGCACTCGGTCCTGTTCTATCATCAATTTCTCCATTAATTGCAGATCCAAATACGGATGATAAACCAGGAAATACAGATATAGCTAATTTGTATAAAACAAACAAAGAAGAATTTAATCAGAAAGCTAGAGAATGGACAAAGCAATATGTACTTCCGAAATGATGTGGAAACCATTTTTCCATGATAAAAACATTTGTATAAACTAATCGTTTTCGCTTTTCTCTAACCTTTTGTTTGTTTAATGTAGAGAATTCGTCGAATACAGAAGTCGAAAGAAACTGTAACTTGTTTTAAACAGAAATCAACGAATATGATGTTACATTATGTGCTGCCAATTCACAACGGAGCGAAACCTTTTTCATTTTACGTACACATTGTTGGATAAAGCCTATCAAGTTGCCTAGAAAAGTTACAATTTTAATTATTTTTCATTTTTTTGAGAAAAAATGTTAAAGTATTGAAAGTTTAAAATCGGTGGCACATTTCGTGACACCTACAAAAGTAAGCTAAATTTCCGCCTGTATCATTGCGTTTTATTTCTGAAAATGCTTTATCCTTATTCAACACAGAAATATGGCTATGAAAAATGAAGCTTGATATTATTTAAATTCAAAATAAATGACAAATTAATGAAACATAAAATATTTTCTCCTCACCTTTCCAAATTTGAAGGCGAAGCTATGTTTTTCACGTGATTATTAGATTAATTAAAGCCCCGTTCGCTGTCAACAACATGTCATCTTTATAAAAAGTCGATATTGAGCCAAATACATCATCAGATTGCCCACCATATCTACGATCAGGGTCCAATGTTATTTGTTCCTCATGGAAGAGTTAAAGTGGCTTTTAGAAAAGTTTTCTGAAAACTTTGAAAAGCTAAATTGAAAAAAACGTTTTATTCCCTGATACTTTCAATAATACCATGAAATAGAGCAACGTTCTCTGATCAAAATGAGATATCTCCCACTCTGAATGATGTTCTGATCAATAGTTATAAGAGTTTTGCTAGAAGGCCTAAATCATGCATCAGATACTGGCACCACGATATCTCGAAAGCACCTTTCAGCATAACACGCAACGCAGTATCTACGATCAGGGTCCAATGTTATTTGTTCTTCATGGAAGAGTTACAAGTGATAAACCAGCAGATGGATTAAGCAGCGCTCTTTATAATGGTGTGCTGTTCAAGTCGAAAATCAATGTCTAGAGGCTTCATCTGACCACAACAAAGTGAAAATTCAATTTCAAGGTATTAGAAGGAAACTGAGTTTTTTAGTAAAAAAACAGGAGTTTTAAAGAGAAGATGTGCATTCGACCTTCCCTATAGTCCATTTGTTTTCAAGGCTACAAATAATCCACATCAATTAAGTCGAAAAAAAATAGTGATTAAACTTTAAATTTGGAGCTCGTGAAAATATATTAATATTAAGATAAACTCATGTAGAACTAGTCCAGACTATTCTGTTCACTCATGTGATGCCGGAGCGTGAGCCGCTGTGATGCGTTGCAGAACTATAATGTGATCTATTCTCGGTTAAAGCCGATAGTTGCGACGACAAAGATGCAAAATTATCGTCATCAGTTGAGCGAACTGTTGTCTGTACAAACGAGCAGAAAGGACGCACAAGACGACGGGCGTGGCAAACGAAAAAAGAAAGAGTAAGTGAAATGTCTTCGAGAGAAAGGAGACTAGAAATGTTACTTGTAATGCAGTATTAAGCATTAACATCAAGTAAAATATAGAAGTGAGAAACATGAGCTGAATTAGTGCTTTTAAGTTGGTATCGGTAGGATGCAGAAGAATATCATGTGCTGTTTGGAGCATAATCAAAAAGGTATGACCCAAAACATCTACAAAATGGAATTCGTTTTTTACAGTGACAACCGCAAAAGTATATTCTTTATTTTATATTCGGCGCTTTCACCTGTTACCTTGAAAGCTGAACATGAACTGAAAAGAAATGCAAGACTTCGTTTAGGTCTCGTTTAGGTGCATTTATTTCTTTTTTATCTATAATTTATATTTTATAGCGTATAGTTTTAATAAATTCTAAGGTTATTGAAATTAAGAATGAAATTTAAACACTCCATTATCTTTTCGATCTTGTAGCGCGTTAGTAAAATTTATGCTTAATCTAAAAGTATAAGGATGTTTGTTTTCCATTTAAAAGTATTTCGATTAGTAATATAAAAGTTTAAAACATAGGATTGTAAGTCATAAGATTTTATATTAATGTTTATTACCTCGATGTTGGATCATTGATGATAATTAAGTAGATTTTTCTATCTTTAGTCTATTAGACTATATAATTTTACGTGATTCTAGTTTAGACCGGTGGAAACTAGGTTACATTTTATCTTTTTATTCTCAGATCGTTCAAATTCGCGAAAAACTTTTCTTGAAAATTTTTTAGGGCAAAGCTGTCCGTCTTCTCAGGGACGTCGAAATATATTTTTCCTCTAAACTGGCAAAATGACACTTTTTCTGACTCAGAATTGAATACGGATCACGAAAATCACATTCACAGTTCATGAACATGCTTTCCTGTGAAACGGAAAACATCAAGGAAAACAATGTTTTTCCAAACGGCAAATTTTCAACGATAACATTTCTCTTGTATTAGAGGTAATATTGCAAATTTAGAAAGATATAACACTCAGATTTTCTGGAATATTAGCAGACTATTAGCAAGGGTCACTCGCCTGTAATACGATGCTCTCTACTAAACAAATAGGTAAATAAAAATACATAAACTTAAGAACAAAACAAAAGTAGAAATTTATGGGGTCGGGTTTGGGTTATGTTTTCTTAATCCGTGCAGGTCTCTACTTCAAAGATCGTCCCAAATTTTGATGTTCCGAAACTATCGTTGTAGTACTTGGTTGATGAACTACTGCTAACAATATAGTTTAATATTAAGTGCATGTAAGTAATTACTAATAACTTTGATTCCTAGATCTTTTTGTAATTTATCTGCACTTTTAGTCATTAGAAAATTAGGTGCAAGCTCCGCGTCAGATCAAACTTCATGAGACTATGGTAGTATATGCAGAATTTCAAGGTGAATCCGACAGCGTACTTCTTTTAATTCCACTCTGAGTTTCTGGAGGGTTGCCACCACTGAAGAGTCCGAAATGATTTTTCAAAAGTTAGAAGTTAATCTAAATCGGCAAAAAGTTAAAATAATTATAAACCGATGCGTGATTTATAGATCGCGTCTAGATTTATAACAATTTTATATTTTCGATCAGAAGTTAAAATAGTTATAAATCATTATTTATAAATCGGTTTATAACTCCACCTATTTCGGACTCTTTCTCTTCAATGGTCGCCACTATCCGTGCGGTATCTTATAGCAAATTTAGGTATTTTTTCTGTTCTATCACTTTTTTTCTTTCCGCGTTTCCATGCGCCCATTTTGTCTTGTTTTTCGCTTTTATATAGACAATACATTCGACCATCGAATAAAATAGCAGATACAACAAAATTTATTTTAAGTTTAGTTTCTTTTATATAAACGCCCAAAAGTTCAAATTAAGCAGAAACAGTGATGAACTCAAATTTTTACATGAAAATATGATTTGTACCATTTTGTATATTTTTCTTTAACAAAGACAACTGTTCATACAACTTTTTTCACCAAAACAATCAAGAATATAACAAAATGCTCTATGATTTGCCTATCTCATTCTATTTGTTTTGACCTATGAAACAGGAAATCCAACAATCATAAAAAGTTAAAAGCACTTGTTGAGTTTTCCAGAGATCCTTGATACACCAAATAACAACTTTCTTTTTTGAACTTTGAGAAACGAGATATATTGCAATTTAACGAAAATAAAGTATTTCACATCTTATAAATTTTATGATCCAATGATGTATCGAGATCTACTAAATGACGTCGAATCTCTTGTGTTTGAATTTCTTCGACACTATTTAACACATCTGGCCATGTTTTTGAACAAAAAATTTGTTCATTTTCATAATGTTTGTTGTATCTCCAATTAGGATCACCTTGAAACCAACATAAATTCATTGTTGGAATAGTCAAATGAATTTGTTTAAGAACATCCAATGTATCATCAATCATTAAATCACATCCTAAATATTTGCATACATCTGCTTTAAATATCTTATTCTTAACAAAGTACAATCCATTAAATATATCAGGTATCATTTCTAGAATTGAATTGGTTGTCTTTATTGCACGTGTTCTACCACAGAAAGATATTAAATACAATTCATGACCTTTACTTTTCAATGATCGAAGTGAGACTAATGCATCAGGTATATTAATATCAGTAGATTTATGTCCATGACCACCGTGTTCATCATGTTTATCGAGAATGGATAGAACACCGCCAAAATCAATGCCAATTTTCAAAGTCATTCCTTTTTCTTGTAAATGATAATCTAAAATAAATGATGAAAACTAATAAAACCGAAGGATCGTCGGTCGTTCTAAAACTAATCCTTCTCTCTTTTCTGTGTTTTGTAAAATCGCTGCCGAAAATAAATCAAAAGCGATAAAGCGTTCAAGTCTTTATCTTTCCAAAAAAATTCGAGAAATCTCATTTTTCCGTTGACAGCCATTACGATTTGTCAAAAAGCTCAGCCGATTGGGCTCAGGTTCTTATCAGAGATACTTTAGATCATATCTCAGAAGAGATTTATTTTCTTGACTACAAAATCTTCTTACTTTCACAAGAAACTGACGTTTTTCATTTCTAAAACTATATAAGGTGAAGGAAAGATTTTCTCAAAGTTTCAAAAAAAAAATGAAGGTCAAATCGACTTCCATTACTTTTGGTTTCATGTTCCCATAATAGAGGACAGTTCAAACTGTATATTTCCGTAGAAAAAATTTTCTAATTTTTGATCGCGAATGAGTAGGATGTATCCTTAAAATATAATTTTTATCTAACACATTTTAACAATATGAAAAAAATCTTGTACAAGTAAATATATCATATCATGATGTTATATCTTTCTAAAGATAAGTTTTAATTCTTTCTATCATATGATCTCATGTTTTACCCGTGTATTTATTATATTTGATTAATGATTAATGAATGACATGTGTTGGGAGAATGAGTAAAAATTAATAACATGGTGTCGGAAGAATGGGTAAAAACTTGCACAACGAGCGCACATTTATACTAAAGTCAACATTGAGTAACATTTACATTAGAAAAAATGAGGAAAGGGAAAAATAGTCGCCATGAAATATGGCTGGCATGAAATATAGTCGCCACGCAATTAGTTGAGAAATTTGTAATAAAAGAAGAAGACCCTTTTTTAAACAAAAGTTCGAATTCTCAAGTGTAAAGATAAACTTCACACTAATTATATTAATACAATGCTGTTAAACGAAACTGATAATTGAGACAAATAAGTTAGACAGACACAAAAGAAAAGAATAGCAGTTTATAAATTCAGTCTTTCTAATTGTTGTAGTAATGTTAGATGTGGATGCGTAATTAAATGACGCAGACGTTTACTATAATTTAAATACTTTTTGCTTAGTTCAACTTTTTGACCAGAATTAAGTTTAATCAATTGACAATGAATAAAATATTCTTCGTTCTGTAGACTTTCATTGAAATCCCAAAGGGTAGGATGTTGACATTGAATGATTGAGTTAAGACCATGATGCCAAGCTTCGGCTGAATTATTTGTACGCATTAAAAGATCAGTTGTTCGTAGATGCATGTTCCACAATTCAACTGGAAACATAGGTTTGGATCTTTCTGTTGACTGGTGTCCGCGTATATAAGTGTCTTCAAAGTCATCAAGTAGTGGATGAAGTATTGGTGGTGATGAATTATAAAGATCGTCAAAATCTTGACTAATATTAGATGGTTGAAGAAATGCAAGAGCAGTAATTTTACTGAAATTGTGTGTAAGTACAGGATCTTGTTCGTAGTTTGTTTTAAAACCCAATTCCTATAGAGAAGAAATGAAGTGTGAATATTTGAATTATCTATCAGACTCAATTACTCACTTGAACTTTATATTATTTTGTAAATGGAAAGAGCAACCTGACATTGTTGGGATGATTTGTTTGTTTTTAGTTATATAGGTATCACTAAGGCTTCTGTTTATCAGATGTTATAAGTTACTAAATGTTTACTTTCTTTTGCGATGTCCTTGCTTATGCAAAATAAATTTGAACTTGAACTTGAACTTGAAGGATTTGTTGTCGCTGTAAAACCACCTCCGAATGCATTATAGGAATTCCAGCACAATATAACTTATATAGCAAGGCTTCATGATTCACTTTATTAAAGGCTTTACTGAAATCTATAAATGCTGCTAAAGTTTGAGATCCTTCATTGAAAGATGTAGCTATGTGATGAATAATTCTGACTAACTGGTTTATTGTTGAATGTCGTTTTAAGAAGCCAGCTTGCTTTTGATTGAAAAATTTAGAACAACACAAAAAACCATAAACATGTTTATATACAATTCTTTCAAAAACTTTAGATATACATTGAAGTAGTGTGATAGGTCGATAGTTGTGCATCATCAGACTTAAACAAACTAAAAATATGCCCAAGTTTCCAATCAGTAGGAAATTCTCCATCTGATAATGACTTGTTAAAGATATATGTTAAAACTGGCGCGATAACAGGAGTGGCTTCTCGAAGTATTCTTGCACTAATACCAGGCGCACATGCCTTAGAAACATCTATTTTGAGTCTATATGCATGTGAAACTCGACTTGATAATTATATTTAGTAATTTTACAACCGCTTTGTTAGTTACTAGAGACTCAGACAGAATTCATTTCTGAAAGAATCAAAAGAAGATACCACGACCGGTTTCGACCTTTCTCAAGGGTCTCGTCAGGTAGTTTCCTTCGAGAAAGACAGAGTTAAGGACGGAGTTTGTGTTGCTTGTCGTGCCTTAACTCTCTAGTAACCAAAAAGCGGTTGTAAAATTACTAAATATATCTATTTTGAGTAATGATTCAAATACCTGTTTCATAGCTATGAAAGTTCGACATAATGATTTTTGCTTTTGGTAGTTTAGGAAAGGAATCAAATTTTACGCTAGATGTACAAATCAATGAAAAATGTTCATTTAGTAATTCTGCTTTTTCAAGAGGTGTGTGCGCTAACGTGCCGGTGGATTTATTTAGCAACGAAGGTATACCCGATTTCTTAGATTTACCTAACGAGCATTTAAGAAGAGACCACCAGCGTTTTGACGAGCTGTTAATTTGAGTAGATTGTTGCTCATAATATTTTTTCTTTGCTATATTACACTCAGAGTCAAATTTTTTGGCTACATTCTCGAAGTTCTCATAGTTGTTAACAGATAGATGAACTGATGAAACATACTTTTTTATATAACTTATCTCGTCTTTTCTGCAGTTGCCTAAGAGCATTATTAAACCATGGTTGATCTATAGAGTTATATATAAAACATTTTTATGAAAAAGTATTGAAACAATTTTTATAGAACATTTTCAAAAAAATCGATTCAATTTGAATGTAGTTTCTTGATAAATAATGGACGAAGAATCGAGCTAACAGTTTCATTTAGTAAAGATCTAAATGGAAATATTTTGGTCCCACGATGTTCTGCATAAAGCGTTTGATAGTCAATAAAAAAAAGATGAAGAGAGTTTAAGATCTGTTTTCAGAATGTACTAAGCCTTTGTGTGCCTGAACAATTACAAAAGGATAAACAAGTCACATGAATAATTTTAACTTTAAATCATAATATATCTTCATAGTCCTCCGTTTCTCGAAGGTATCTGTTATTTATTCGGATCTGTAATATCAAAATTCCGAAGCTGACTAGTAAAACCATCGACAATAATAATTTTACGATAAGCAGATCCAATAAGTCTGGTAAATCGTGGCTCGCGACAACTATTAACAATATAACCAAAATAAAATAAAATAGCAATTCTTGAAAATCAAGCAGAACACGAATCCCATCGTTATCATTCATCGCATTTTCCTTTATCACATCTTCCAACTTACATGTACATGTTCCAACAATACATGTAGAATTTTAGGGTGAATCCGACAACGGGCTTGTTTTAATTTGATTTTAACTTCTTATCTGGCGCTAACATTATGCTGCGTTTTCAAGATGAAGTCAAAATCAAATTAAAGGAAACCCGCTGTCGGGTTTAGCGTAAAATTTTACATTTAATACCATAGTTTCGTGTTATTTGGTTGTGCATGGCAAAAATTCATAATTTTTTAATGATAGTCCACGAAAGTTTGTCTATGCTAAATAAAACGTAGAGAAAAAGAATATTATTTTTTTCATATACCCTAATAAAATCAGACCATTCATAAACGCTAAAATCGTCTTTCATTCGATAGAGATACATTTGATAACATAGGAAAACTTAAATGAGAAAAATTTTATCGAAACTACGCTATTTGGATAGAGTATAGTCTTCAGCTCTATTACCTAAAATCATTCCGAAAGCAGGACAATTCCAACACGATCCTATCGAAAGTTATTCAATATGCATAGTCTCTTTTATTTCTGAACAAAATGCAGTTAGCTTAAACAAACTTGACGATATGAAGAAAATAAAACAGTTAGACAAACCAGTAGACTAGATATGACTAATATCAGACAAAGATAGTGATGTGATGATAAAACCTATTGATAAATAAAGAAAAAACTAAAAAAAGAAGAAATATGGACTGTATAAACTAGTATATTTTTTTCGATGAAGAGAAATGAAACATCTTTTTATACTATCTTATTTAACAAGCGGTGCATTTAATAGTTTCGAATCTACTTCGGTTTTTGATCATCTCTCATATAGTAACCATAAGATTTGCTTCCTTCCAAAATGCAATACATTACTTTTATTCTGTTTATATTCTCTATGCCAATTAGATGAGAGTTTTATTTGATATCCATATTACTTGTTTCAAACTATTACATGTAATTTTTACATCAGTAGACAGCTAAGAGTCTAAACCCCAACAAAATGCGTTGACTTATAACAATTACTCGAAATGGGGAATTATGATAATTCTAAAGATATTCAATGGAAATTGATTTGATCTAGATAATCTTAATAAATTTTGAAGAAATCTTTACATCGGTAGATAGCTAAGAGTCTAAGCCCACAACCACAACTCTCTTTACTGTCCGAACTAAAACTTTTGTCATTGATGTTCATTGACTCGAAAAAATAATTTGATATGAACGTGATCTGATCGGGCATATGTGTGACTCTCTTCTCTTCTTTTGATTTTACATTTTGGACTACTTTGTAAAAAATTGAAGTAAGGGTAAGTATAATTAGAAAAATAAAAGTTGATTGTAGTCAATAATGCTACAGTAATACACGCGCAACTTCATCAGAATGAAATTCTACATATAATATATGAATCCGAATCATGCATTTTCAAAATGTCTCTTAGGTCTAGTGTTGTACAAGACACTTCTTACTGCATATCTATGAAAAAAATCAGTAGATTTATACGATAGCTTGTGAAAAGCTAGCTTGAAGTGCCTGCTCTCAATTCAATACAAGAACATCAATACAAGAAAGCTCACCAGTGTACGTATGACTCGATTTGCGATTTTGCTCTGTGTCTCATTCTTCGCTCTCTACCAGCTGAGCACTCCGGTATTGATCCGCATACACCTGAATGACGGACGTGGATGCGCAATTCGCAATAATGGCCCTTATATATTATTTCCTCTGGAGAACATATGGCGCCGGACAACTGAATATACCGAAGCTTTCCAGTTCAAAATACATTTTTCTTTCATTTGTGACGCTTATGGCATCGAATCTAGACGTTTGTTTGCAAGAAAAATGTGCATTGATCAATCTCTAGTGTCGGCAGAACATTCTACCTTTTCCAGAACTTTCTAAGCTTTCATAGTTCTCTAGATTACGAGATGCACATTTTGCCTAAAAAACGGACGAAACAAGAAAATAAATTTAGAGAGCAATTGCGCTGCGTACAAACTGCGATGTCCACAGACTCTGTCTCAGACTGAATCTACCTCTCCAAGCAAATCCTACCAGTGGGCTGTGAGCAGTGCATTTTTGCTTTGATCTATTCAATACATATATATTTATATATATTGAGTAAATCAAATCAATATATATATATTTATTTAACATTTATTTAACAAATGGTGCAGGATAATCAATTCTTATAAATATACGAAAATTTACTAACTCCAAAAAATATTTTATTTCTACTTGTATAGCTTATGGCGCCGAATTTGGACTTAGTTTTGAAAAAGGAACCTGCACTGATCAATCGCAATGTTGGGAGAATTTCGTACCTTTTCCAAAACTTTTCTAGCTTTCGTAGTTCTTTAGACCACGAAGTGCACATTTTGTCTATAAAGATAGTACATTTATAGATAGAGCATATTTTGAAATTTGCCAAGTTTTCTGAATCGATTATAAATGAGTCGCAAGTTTCGTGGGACAACTGCTTCAATCTTTTTTATGAAAACAAACATTGTCATGTTGCTCGAATAAAAGTAAAATATTTGCTACGAAATGGTAAAAATCACAACTCACCAGCTTCTTTTTATTCTCGAGTAGCTCAAATATGCGCGCAGAATCTGCTTTTAAATTTCTGGTAGTACTATAACTTTACTATATAGATTAGAACAGAGCTGGCGAACTTAACTCTAAAGTTGAGCTTTTTTCGGCGGAGTTGGAATCGAGTTGATGACAAATTTTGTCAACTCCAACTCCGATACTCCGATTAAAAATTTCTTCAACTTTGACTACATCAGCTCCTGCGGAGTGTGTTTTTCATAATCAGGCTTTTTATTTTCATCACATCGTAGTAGTAAGATAAATAATATGCTTTCAAGATTATTTATTAATTACATTCTTAAAGTCTGATTTTTTTTGCGCGTACTATTATAAAACAACACATGACCGTTATACGGACAAAGTAAAAAATAGGAAGGAAAAGAATGAATAGATTTTAATTCGGAGTTGGAGTTGACTCCATCGGAGTTACAGTGGAGTTGGAGTTTAAATTTCTTACGAGGAAACATTATCATAAACTATTCGCAAACACCAGTCATGCTGTAGAGCTAGTTTACAGAGAATTTCGCTAAAAAAGTACAGACAGTCGCGCCTCATCAACGAAATTTTGTAGACGTAATGATCATTATAGTCTAAGTACTTTTCATAAAATCGACTTTTTAGACGCTGAACAGAATCGGTCCAAATTATTTTGTTGAATTAATGTACGGGCAGCAAAGTGTCGATTTATTCAAATCACTTTTCACAGTCTGACGCGTTTAAAATGGCGCCACTATTCGCGCCAAAATGTGAAAAGTGATTTGAATAAATCGACACTTTCCTGCCCGTACATTAATTCAGCAAAATAATTTGGACTGATTCTGTTCAGCGTATAAAAAAAGTCGATTTTGCGATAATGCGTATTACCTACCTATTTTTATTATCTTTCGTCATAAGTGAAAAACTTCTTCCGTATGAAATATTTTTAGCTAATTCTCTATTAACAGTAATGAACACCCGTAGTCAGATAGTTACATTCATGGCATGCTACCAAACACACAGAAAATTTATCACACCATCATACTG